CATTTTTCAGGCACTATTTGAGGCTTCATTCTAACGGGTTCATACTGAATACCTGGTGTAACTATGAGTGTATTCGTATTCTCTGATACAGTTCCTGCGCGAATGAAATATAACCAGAAGGTATGTTTCCAGCTTTCATTGTTGCTTCAGTTTGTTGCTGGAGAAAATGAACCTCACTGCACCACAATTTTTTTCAATTTTTCATTCATAAAGGCCTATAATGTGCTGGTGCACCATTGTCTTAGCTGCTTCTTAGTTGACAGCCGTTGTCCTGGCTTCAGTCTCAGAGGCTCTAGGCTTCAGAAGTTTTTCCCTTTGTGGATACGTAACTAACTATGCACATGAAGTTGATGGCGACGGATAAAAGTATTGTCCTTGGCAGGGACTGGAGCCCAGAGCTCATTGAGCTCAACTTTCGGACGCACTGAACAGCAATTATCTCAATGAAAGATGCACAGGCTTATAAACTGAACTCTTTGCATGACTCTGAGACGAGCCAAATTAGCGCAGAAAGGTGGATTGTGGCTACAGGAGCATCTCAGGGTGCGAAAACAACACCTTACAAGGGAGCATTAGCTTTTTCAGGGAACATCGGGATAGGTGCTCCACTTTTCATAAATTTGGAATGTATGAGGTCACAGGGGTCATAGAACCAGGACACATCATTAGTTGGGGATTTTGGTCGAGTCCGTACGATCCCTTTTTTACCTTTTTAGGGGGTTTGCGACCCTCTCGATGACAGGGGGTGAGGCGGAGGACTTGTAGAAACTAGTGCGCAGAAAAGTGCGGAAAGTTTAGAACGAAATACAGAGGATTGTTGTCGTTTTCTGTGGAGTGTTCTTTTTTGCAACATAATCACCGCTCTGCTCCATGGAGTCGCTCGGGCATCATCATCGAGATCTTCATTGCGTTTCTAAGACCAAAAATGTAGCGATTTTTCAAAATTGGGAAGTTTAGTATTTGGGACAGAAGCTCTCAATACAACAAAAGCCCAAACTTCCATATGAACGAGTCCTCATTACAACTTTCTAAAGAAGGCTTTCTAAAGAAGACTTTCTAATGATTGAAGCACAGGGCTCTTTTTCATGGTGCGCTATTTGCTTTCTGATAACGTCATCGTCAGTATGGGAAAAACAGACAAGAATTCCTCTTTTCCACTAGAATCCTGAGCGGCATCCATTTTCTATGCGTAGCCATTAAATTTTTACTAAAGAAAACTGTTGTTTGTAATTTAGTTGATTGTGGTTGTGTCCTTGTACTTATCAGGGAAGTCCACCAACTCACATGGAACTTTGAATGGAGATCTGGGTAAAATCGATATATCTATCATCACCCCATATATATAATTCGCTTTGTTCTGTTTGTTTGTTTGTTTGTTTGTTTGTTTGTTAGTTTGTTTGTTTGTAAGTTTGTTTGTTTGTTTGTAAGTTTGTTTGTTTGTTTGTAAGTTTGTCTGTCCGGAAATTCGGTTCGACCTGAAAAGAACGATTTGGAGAGGTCCGGTCAAGGTGGGGATGGGTAGGGGGCGTGGGACAAGAAATAAAAAGCCACGACTTGAGCTAAGACACAGGCAAAGGGAAGCGCCCGCCCACAGTGGGTGGGGCAGCTCCCGCGAAAGTTTGAGGTCCGCAACAAAAATGTTCATAAATTCGCTATCTCTCCGGGGGCAGCCATTAAAGATGGAGGAAAAAGGGAATAAGGTTAATAAGGCGTTCGCAGACAGCTGTGGCGGTAGCAGCCCTAGAATGGGCGCGGGGCGTACTGCAAGGGTGGGCGGTGCTTCTCGCAAAATTCAGTAACCCGGTTCGCGAGAGTGTTTGGAAGTCGCAAAAAGCTCAGTTTAGAATGTAAATATCTGGCGAATATAGGGGCACGCTCAAAAGCGTGTTGAGACCCGATCCGCCCACAGTGGGCGGGGCTTGCCCTACAAATCGGGCAGGGTATTGCATTTAAAAATGTTGTAGGCTCAGTTCCAGGAACGCTCAGGCAAATAGCCGGGAAAAAAAAGGTGGAATTAAGGTTCAAGGCAGAGGGGTCGTCGGTTAAGATTGTAGGGCAAAAAAATTGTGGGCGGAGCCTGCTCCGAGGTGGGCGGAGCCAGACAAAAAAGGTCTGTAAAACGGTTCCAGAATACTCCAGACACCGGAAAAAAGTGGATTAAGGTCAGCAGAGGGTCGTCGGTGAGGATTGTGGGGCAAAAACATTGTGGGCGGAGCCTGCTCCGAGGTGGGCGGAGTCAGACAAAAGATCTGCAAAACGGCCCCAGAGCACTTCAAAGACCGGAAAAAAGTGGATCAAGGTCAGCAGAGGGTCGCGGGTGAGGATTGTGGGGCAAAAACATTGTGGGCGGAGCCTGCTCCAAGCTTGTTGCTCCGAGGTGGGCGGAATCAGACAAAAGATCTGCAAAACGGTCCCAGAGCACTTCAAAGACCGGAAAAAAGTGGATTAAGGTCAGCAGAGGGTCGTCGGTGAGGATTGTGGGGCAAAAACATTGTGGGCGGAGCCTGCTCCGAGGTGGGCGGAGCCGGCGGAGTCAGACAAAAGATCTGCAAAACGGTCCCAGAGCACTTCAAAGACCGGAAAAAAAGTGGATCAAGGTCAGCAGAGGGTCGTCGGTGAGGATTGTGGGGCAAAACATTGTGGGCGGAGCCTGCTCCGAGGTGGGCGGAGTCAGACAAAAGATCTGCAAAACGGCCCCAGAGCACTTCAAAGACCGGAAAAAAACGTGTGGATTAAGGTCAGGAGAGGGTCGTCGGTGAGGATTGTGGGGCAAAAACATTGTGGGCGGAGCCTGCTCCGAGGTGGGCGGAGTCAGACAAAAGATCTGCAAAACGGTCCCAGAGCACTTCAAAGACCGGAAAAAAGTGGATTAAGGTCAGCAGAGGGTCGTCGGTGAGGATTGTGGGGCAAAAACATTGTGGGCGGAGCCTGCTCCGAGGTGGGCGGAGTCAGACAAAAGATCTGCAAAACGGCCCCAGAGCACTTCAAAGACCGGAAAAAAGTGGATCAAGGTCAGCAGAGGGTCGTCGGTGAGGATTGTGGGGCCAAAATATTGTGGGCGGAGCTTGCTCCGAGGTGGGCGGAATCAGACAAAAGATCTGCAAAACGGCCCCAGAGCACTTCAAAGACCGGAAAAAAAGAAAAAACGGTGGATATAAAGGTCAGGAGAGAGGTCGTCGGTGAGGATTGTGGGGCACAAACATTGTGGGCGGGGCCTGCTCCGAGGTGGACGGAGTCAGACGAAGAATCTGTAAAATAGCTCAAGAGTACTTTCAGACACCGGAAAAAAAATGGAGTAACAAGAATCAAAAGGGATAGTCAGTTGAATCTGAAATATGTGAAAGAAAGCACGCGCGGCGAAGCCGCGCCCGCCCGGCGCAGCCGGGCCGTATCAGAAGGAGCCACGCCGGCGTCAGCCGGCGAGGCGACTGGTTAAGATATAATTAAATAACGATAGCAAAGACAGATGCCAACCGTGCATGTTTCAACAGTAAGTGCAGTACAGAACTTAATGAAGACGAGGTAATGTTTGTAATGGTGCAGCGTTGGGTGGAGGCTTGTGGTGAGGCTGCTGAAGGCATAAGCGGAAGGCAGGAAATCGCAATACGCGTCGACATCGAGGTCGTCGAGTAGACGAGACGTCGAACCGCTTACCACTGAATCACCACGACTCGATTCGACGTATGCGATTCCTCGCTTATGCTTCACAGCTCACCACCAAGCCTCCACCCTACTGCACCATTACAAACTTTACCTGCTCATAAGTTGCTTGTGAAATGCAGGTTGCAGTTTTGCTATCTATATTTGTAAGCAACCTTATAGACTATCGATCTACCTCAGTCGCGCAATCGAACGCTTTCCATTTTGTATGCGCAGCAATTAGATTTTTACTAAAGAAAACTATTGTTTGTAATTTAGTTGATTGTGGTTGTGTCCTTGTACTTATCAGGGAAGTCCACCAACTTCACCATGGAACTTTGAATGGAGATCTGGGTAAATCGATAGAGTCCATAAGGTTATTTACAAATATAGATAGCAAAACTGCAAACTGCATTTCACCTGCTCCGCCATGAGCACCTTATGATGCAGGTAACTATCGCTGCATGTTTAGGCTATACGTTCGACCGTAATGCTGGTGGTGTTCCCGGTTTTTGCAGTATAGGGCTTTGGTTGGATGGGTGGAGCATTAGTGCTTGGTCGCGTTACGCTGTGAAGCATATAAGCGAGGAAATTCCGCATACGGCAAGTGCGTTCGAACTCGAGTCGACTCTTAACCTTGTATTCTGATGACGCTTACACCACTGGATCACCACGACCACGACTGAGACGATGTGATTGCTCTCGCTTATGCTTCTCGCAGCTTTTCACCACCAAGCCTCCACCCAACTGCACCATTACAAAAATTTACCTGCTCATAAGTTGCTTGTGAAATGCAGGTTGCAGTTTTGCTATCTATATTTGTAAATAACCTTATAGACTATCGATCTACCCAGTCTCCATTCAAAGTTCCAAGATAAGTTGGCGGACTTGCCTGGTCAGACGGAAATGTGAGCATCAACGCACTCATAGTTAATTTGGTGTAGTTTATCTATACGCTTTTATAGGCATATCACGCTTTCCTTTTCCTTTTGATTTTCTGCATACTATTCTTAAGCATTATGATGAGCGGCATTATAGGGTTTTGAATGAGCAAAGACTGCTGCGCAGTACCGAATCTTAGTCACAGTGATCCTTGTGTCTTTACCCACACATTTCGCTCGCAGCAATTGAAGCATTATTGGGGAGGGGTATAGCTTGAGTCTGGATGACGGCACGGTGGAATCAGCATACCTAGTGGTACGCGTCATGACCTTTTGCTACACGCAGTGAAAATTTCCTTATAGGTGTGGAGAGTGATACTGCAGCAGACATCGCCGTTGTACGACAGTCAACCTCATTCTATTACTTGCGAATTGGGAGAGGAGATTGCAGTTGAATCCTCCCTCAGGTGTGAATCTGATATGATGGGACTGTCTTACAAACTAGTCGATTGTGACAACGAGGAGTATTGCGGTAGGCTCTAATGTTCACATATGTCTATGCCCAGCCACTTGGTGGATCATTCATTCCAAGCAGACATCGCGGTATAGACTTCTGCAGATGTTTTCAGATCCTAATTTCGCCTGCGGACTTCACAAGCCACTTTTCATAACACGACATGTGGTCTGCATTGAAAACCTTATTGATAGGTTAGTGGGCGCTTACATGCGCTCGGCAGGCTTTTTCAAAGGTGCTATCTATCGAGGAATTGTTGACTACGAAGTGAGTCTCGTTGTTTCATGCTTTGTACCTATTCATGTGCTGCTTTCGGAACGATGAGCTGTTTTTATTATTTTCGTGTTGATTTAGGCCGATGTCAGTCGTGTGAGCAAGGGCGGTGTTTGTAATTTGGTTATATTATGTGTCACAGAAGTCCAAGTTCCAGTAAGAGAGAGCGAATCAACTCGGAACTCTTTCTATCTTTTCGAAGTTCAAGTTCTTTGGTGAGATGTTTTATAAAATCGATTTGTTAATTACTTGGTGCGTTGACCTCTATACCACTGAATTTTACACTGCCTGATCACCAGCGACTTTAGGGCAGTAATCTACATAAAGTGTGTTTGTTGCTGTGACAACCCTGATCCTTTTCTCTTCTTCTACCAGCCAAGGTGCAGCATCGGGACGGCTCAACTCCTTACCAGCTTTCCAGAATTTTGCCAGTTTTTTTTTTCGAAAAACATTGCGTGAAGCGGGGAACCCTTTCCATTCGACTATGAGACATAAAGGATAAAGTCTTCGCCGTTGATCAATCCCTTTGTGGGATGCGGCACGCATTCTACTTCCATTCAGAATCGTAGTGGCTTATTGAATGCGTAGTGGCTTATTGAATGCGATGTGGCCTATACAATGACTTGCGGGGCCAGCCGATGTACAAGTCAGTGTTTTATCCTCCCAGACGAATCTGGTACCAATTTACCGTCCCCGGAGGGTAGGATGCATAATTGGCCTGGGTGGGAGTCGACATGGGACAGTAGAGAGGGATATAAGAAATAGTTGTTGCAAGGTGGTTCCTCACCAACTATGAAAAAGAGGAGGGGTATAAAGCGGATGGAACGGGAATAATCAGTAACTGGATACATTTTATCCGAGAAGCCTGGAACAAATTTTTTCTTGGCCGCATACGATTCCCCTCCCTACCGGCCAAGTGCGACTACCTATGGGGCCCTCCCAGTATGCTGAGGTGCGCCTCCAAAAGCGTGAGGAGTCGTACTTTACTACTATGTGGTTAGGCGAGTGATGCTTGTGTGGCTGAATGAGGAGACTGCTTTTCGGCTATGCTTGTGCACGTTCAAGTTTTGCAAGGCTAGCTCAGCTTTGTCATTTTCTTCATTTTATGACACTATTTGGTCCAAGCAGACCGGCTTCGGTTTTGCAAGGATCATTTTGATTTTCCAAAAAAAAATGGTGTTCAGTCTTCCATATTAAGTTGATGTTTCAGGAGTGTCTTTCGAGGTTGGAAAGTCGGTGGGACTACTCGGCTTATCAAAGAATTGAAACCTGAGATCGCTTTCAGTCCTAATTCTTGGTATCCTTACAAACGTTTTCCTGTTGAAAAGGACGAGTATTCATACTTTATACCTAATAGTAAACTTGTTCTAGGTAGGTACTTACTGTGTGATCAGAACTTCGTTAGGAACTTTTTCTTTATTTTATCCCTTTTAGTGATTGCAATATTTTAAGATCCGTTCTTAGACCACTACAAGTTTTTTTTTTGCTCCTTCATCTGGAAAATCTTAGCCCCCAGCTTGCGAACATGCTTTTGAACCTTTCAAATGTTTGCAACTGCATTTCTCTATTTCTGTACACACTGGCTTCCTAAAAAACTGAGGAGCAAATCGGAGAGTACTTTTGATGGATGAGCCAAGCATCGGGAAACTTTTCAACATTGAAAACTGACGGCACACACCAGGTACTCCTTCCATACCCCTCACATCCATTTAGGTGGCCGGTTGGATACTGTTAGCTACATTTTCATCAATTCCTTCCCCTGCCTTCTAGCTTGTTGATCTGAGTTCACTGAAAAGTGTCGGAGGTTGAGACGATATGGTAAAGGTTCGTGCAACGCGATACCAAATTCTGCGTTTTAAGAGATTTTTGTCCATCATATCCGTTCCTCTTTTCTTCTAGTCGGCCACGTTCTCACCGCTCAGTCCGTGCGACTGTTTTCTGCGCCTCTCATTAAAAACTCATCCTGAGTCCGGTTTGTCCAGTAGGGGTAATCCTCTGATACAGCGGGCACTGATCAAAAACTCTTTTTCTTCAGACTGTCACTTTTCCTTTACTTCCTACTGCTTACAAATGGCATGAGAAGTGGATAAAACAACTCGAACTGCGTGGCTTTCGTCGCAAGTAAGAGGAGCCGGCCATAAGCGCCTTGTTATGGTGCATTAAAATGCAGTGGATCGCAGCAGTCGTTCGTAGTGGATGCTGGCGGGTAGGGGGAGTTGCACTTCTTTCTCCCCTCTTCCCTTCCCCTCTCCCTTTGACTGCTGGGCCAGTAGGTGCGATGAGAAAATACCTCTGACATTGCATACTGGTTGTTTTCAGATGTGATATCGCAAAATTGATGTCTAAATAAAGTAGTTTTGTAGGGAGAAGTCATAGCCGTATTATCTCAGCAGATGATGCAATGGAGGTGGTCTTGGATCTGAATAGAGCATTGGTTTCTTAGATGCATTGAAATGTGGTACTTTTGTTTTGCTGTTGTGAGTTGATTTCGTGAATACTTTTAAAGTTGTTTCTTATTAATGTTTCTTTTTTACCTGTGTTTGTATTTTGTTTTGTGCTCTTCTGTGATCTAGATTTTCCGCATTTACTTTTCAGTTACCATCATGTTTTGTTGCGGAACTCCGTGTGAGACTCAACCTCTGATCTCTTGTTCGTTTTGTGGCGTTCACTTTCCTTATCTTCGTTTGCGTAAAACGTGACTCTCAAAATGTTACCTCATACATGTACCTAAGTACGGTTTGCATTGTCAAATATGGATCTGTAAATCGTTTTTTTTAAACTTGTGTGCACGTTATATGAAGGGTAACTTCAGTGTGCCCAAAAGAATTATTTCTCTATTGTGAGGTTCGGGTTCATATTAGAGGCAGTGAGCACGATAGCTCGGGGCCGGCGGTTGCTGCCAGCATCAGTGAGGAAGGTTGAGTAAGCCGTGGCCAGATGTCCTATCGCAGCCCTTCCAGCAATGACGTTGGCAGCCACCACCTGCCCCCAGACATCGTGTCCTCTACCTTGAAGGGCGCAGTCCACGACTACCTGATGTGTAAGATCTCATCCTTTTACAAAGTGACGCAGTTCGCAATCTAGAGGGTGCACATTTTCGAGGTTGAAAGTGTTTTATGGGAACGAAAAAGGTGCACTCGAGGTTCCTGTAAACGGTAGATCGACTGAATGGGCGTGAATTGAAGCGCTGTCAAAGTCTCCTTTCCGGCCAATAGCTGCCGAGTCAGGATGTCGTTAGTGGTGCAAAAGACCGACTTGGCCGCTTTCCAATCCACGCCCCGTGACACGCCCTATCGTCTGCAGATATCGTGAGTGTATACGACAGTTGTCTTTCTCCTGGAAATCGGCTTCTTTCTTCTTTGTTACAGCCCGTGATCGTTAAGTGGCGGGGCGGTGTCGCTTATCTGTTTTTTCTCGCCATTTCGCCGTATCTTTCTCACGCTCATTTTCGTCGTCGTATGCGTAATCTCTGCTCGAAAACTACACTGGCCCTATTCAGGGCGCTTGGGCAGCCTATTTTGCTTGTTCTCCACCAATAACTCGAATGAAGCTCTTAGCATACACCCTTTGGTTTTTGAAGCTCGCCATCCACATTTTGTAGTCGTGGACTGTGTCTTTAAGAGGAAGTTGAATTTTAAGTGTTCGCAGGCTTATTTATAGGTTTTCAGCTATTGAACGAGTACCTGAAGAAAGGTGGTCCAGTTGATGAGTGGGAAGATCACATTGGAAAGCAGACAGAGGTTACCAAGCAAGATACAAGATGTTATCTGTGACGCAGCTCTCGTTATCCAACACGCCACGACGGCCTCTGGAAGCAGTGATATGTTGATTTCGTCCGCAAAACAGAATGTCGCCACGGAGCAATCTGTTACTAGCACTGCTACGATGCTGAACAAGTTAGACTCACTACTGGACGCGATGGGACAGCAGTACGATGAAATTGAGGACAAAGTACTTGTTGTGTCAGACATTGCCGCCACCCTGCAATCCATAGAACGTAACAAGTACTTTACGGAAGAAGGTCGTCACACCTTTTCGGAATCTGATGTGGATAGTACCATGTAAGAAGGGGTCTTGAGTTTTCATGTAAGGAAACTTTCAATTCCTTTGAGATTTTTGTTGGTCGTACGTCCCTCTTCATTACTACTTGTCAGATTTGAGTGTCAACTATGTTCACCATTGTGATCACAGCTCCAACAGTAGTCAGGCTATGCCCTGCTGTGGGGAAGAAATTCTGCAAAATATGGTCCCTCCAAAGTCCTCTTCGAATACGAGCGCCACCTCCCTCAATCCTCATCCCCATCTTACTTACCACCTTCCCAAGTTTCCCCCAACTTCGCACCATTTTGTAAGGTTTTTTGCTTCAAGAATGCTCTAGTTTTCCACCAACAACTGTCATCGGGGGAGGGGATGGAAAGGAGAAAAGCGAGGTAAGTCAGGTACCAAAAATATTTTTCTCAAAGACAAGTACGACTCCCTCCAACGAGCAAATACGACCCCTTTCACACAGTTTTTGGAAAAGCCTTCCTTTAAGGCATTGCCTGCGATCAACCAACATGCAAAAACCCTTTGATGTACAAGCTAGTAGAGCCCAAAATCACAGAAAGTGTC